TCGGAAACGAGGCAGGGAGGGGTGACCAAGGCGGTGGTGCCAGAGGAGAGTCTTGTGAGACAGGAGGCGACATGAGCAGGGGGCAGACTCAGGACCAGACCTGGACGCTGCAGCAAACACCTGACCCGACGCAGCTACCTGACCAGACGCAGGGACAGGAGGAGACTCAGTGGTCAGGGTGTACAGGCTCGACCCCGGCCGACGCGTAAACGTGGCCAGGTGCCGGCCTGTGCGAGAGTCCGAGCAGTGAGTCACCCGCTGACTCGCAGGAGTAAACTGGTGAACCCCCGCATCCTGTAGGTCAGCACCACTCACCAAGTTTGTAGAGAATGAGGGGAGGTAAAGACCAGACAAGGTGCCAGAGGGGGCCGCCGGACACGGGAGGACAGTGGAGAAGTGAGAAAGGACAGGACCCCCAGAGGGGTCTGCCAAGGAGATTGCAACCGGCCGACCAAGCGGCGTGAGTGTGGTGCGGTCTCGAAAGAAGGAGCGAGAAGCCCCTGAGTCAAGTGTGAAGGTGAGGGAGGCCGAAGCCGACGCGGTACCTGCGAGCGCAGACTCACCAGCACCTGAGGACGTAGACGCACTAGCACCTAGAGCAGCAGCCTCACTGGCACCTAGAGCAGCAGCCTCACCAGTACCTAGAGCAGCAGTCTCAATGCCTGGGTCGGGCGGGAAACACCGGTAACAGTCACCCTCATCACTAATAGATACAGCATACATGGCAGAAAGGATAGCATCAAAATGAAGATCATAGATGGCAACTCCCGCCCTAGACAGCTCGCCCCAGCGAGGGATCTCTGTGGCCTCCGGGAACTGGTGACGCCACGCGTCCGTCAGGTGGCCAAAGCAGCGCTGGGTGGGGTGCGCACCCCCACACTGCTCACCCGCACGGTCGCCGGTGCGCAGGACGTAGGTGCACGGACCAGTACCCCCACCCCGCTGGCGTGCAGTGTACCACTCACGGAGCTGCTGAGGGGACAAGGTCTCACGACCGCGCTGCTTCTACTGGCGCGGACCACCACCGGAGCCACTCCTCTGCGTAGACCCGCGACCAGCTCCACCGCCACCCCCGCCGCCTCCGCCGCCTCCACCGCCTCCGCTACTACCGCCGCCTCCGCCGCCTCCTCCACCGCCACCACCTCCGCCACCTCCGCTCCCACCGCCACCGCCGCCGCCGCCTCCACTGCCGCCACCAACACCTCCACCCCCACCTCCACTCCCACCGCCACCCCCAGTCCCCTCGCCGCCTCCACCTCCACCTCCACCGCCCCCGCCCGCTCCTCCAGGGCCCCTGCCCCCCTTGCCCCTGCCAGAGCGGCGTCTCCCGCTAGGGGCAGACGCCGCACCGACCGACTCAAGACCAAGGAGGTCGGCCGCAGCAGCAGAGGCAACAGAGGGCAGAAGGGGGGAGGGGGAACACCCCTCAAAGATGGGGGTGCGCGGGTCACCACGAGAGGCCCCTACAGCAACTATGCTCTTCTCGGCCGCTAGGAGGGACTTCTCGAGGAGGTCAACAGTGAGAGTGGTGGGATAGACTGAGAGGAAGTGGTCCCTGACTACGCGAAGGGAGTCAGGGAGGCGAGTGACTAAGTAGTAGAGAGTGATGTACATGGGGGGGGGGGGTTCTTGGCGCAGAAGTCAGCAGGAAGCGCAGCGCTGTAGCGAGTGTCACTAGTGCGGAGGTGCGTAATGAGGTCAGCGACTGTGGGAAAGGCAGTAAGGTCAGGGAAGAGGTACGGTAGCATGAGACGGCTCAGTGCAGCAGTGGCAGGGGAGGAGTAGCGTGCAGCTACAGCGTCGTACAAGGTCTGAGCACTCTTGTACTGACTAAAGTGCGTACGCTCAGAGGTAGGGAGGTGGCGACGCACAGCAAGACGTGCAGCAGCATCGCGCGTGGCCCACTGTGAGCGAACAGTGGCGTCAGCATCAACAGCAGGAGCAGGAGAGGCACCAGAGGTGAGGTCAAAGAGGGAGAGACCGTCTGCCCTATTGCACTGTAAGAACAGCTGCAGGTCATCTATCCAGACGTCAAAGTCAATGGCTCGACCCTCGGCGTCAAAAGCGAGGACACTAGGGGTAGCCATGACAACAGTAGACTAGCAGCGCTGGCTGTAGAGCAGGGGTAGTGCAGTGACAGAGGCGCTGCGCTCACCAGACTGGGCGGTTTGGGCAGCTCGGGCGGCTCGGCAGCAACTGCGGCTCGGCGGCACCCGCGGCTCGGCTCCTCAGCTGCTCAGGCGGCTCGGGCGGCTCGGGCGGCTCGGGCGGCCCGGGCGGAACGGGCGGCTCGGGCTGCTGAGCGGCGCGGGCAGCTCGGCTGCGTAGGCGGTTCGGGCGGGGCCGTAGGTAGGGCGACGGGGCCGGGTCGAAGGTAGGGCGACGGGGCCGGTGCGTATGTAGGGCGACGGGGCCGGGGCCGGGCCGCAGGTAGGGCGACGGGGCCGGGTCGAAGGTAGGGCGACGGGGCCGGGGCCGGGCCGTAGGTAGGGTGACGGGGCCGGGGACGGGCCGTAGGTAGGGCGACGGGGCCGGGTCGAAGGCAGGGCGACGGGGCCGGGCCGTAGGCAGGGCGACGGGGCAGGGGCCGGGCCGTAGGTAGGGCGACGGGGCCGGGTCGACGGTAGGGCGACGGGGCCGGTGCGCAGGTAGGGCGACGGGGCCGGGGCCGGGGCGCAGGTAGGGCGACGGGGCTAGGGCCGGGGCCGCAGGTATGGCGACGGGGCCAGGGTCGCAAGGGGGGGGGGGCGACGGGGCCGGGGTCGCAGGTAGGGCGACGGGGCCAGGGCGCAGGTAGGGCGACGGGGCCGGGGCGCAGGTAGGGCGACGGGGGCGAGGCGCAGGTAGGGCGACGGGGCCGGGGCGCAGGTAGGGCGACGGATCAGGGGCCGCTAAGGCGGCGCGACTTGGCTGCTAGGGCGGCTCGACGAAGTCAGAGAAGGGAGCGAGACTCGGGCAGAGCGCGCTCCGGGCAGGAAAAAAAAACTTTCGACTTGGTGGGCCCTAGGCACAGTTCCCACGAGGGAACCTGCTCGATACCATGTGAGAATTGAAACGAGAATGAGTGCACTAAGGAATGGAATGTGGTACAAATATGCAACCCTAGAAATGTGTACCCCATATAGGCTACCCCACTACAGCCTACAGAACATTATGATTTGACATTAACGCCCTTCCTTCGAGAATTAACACATTTTCGACGGAAATACCTCTTCCGTCGAGAACAAAATGTCTGCACATTTTCGACGGAAATACCCCTTCCGTCGAGAATCGTATATTATTTTTAGGGCCTTAACTTGGCTGATATTTTGAGTTACGAAACACTTTCTTTTTAATTCTACAATGGTATATTGAGTTGTCTCCCGTCGAGTTCCTTCAATTTCTACTATTACGGCTGACATATATATTGTCATAAGAATACGACATTGAACCCGTGGGTTTCGGAGGGTTTTTTGGCCTGGTCAGCCGGGAATTTCTGGGGGGCCGGAGGGATTCCGCGGGTTTTTCGTTTTGCCTCAATTCCCTTAGTGCCAGGGCGGGCGGGGCGGCATGTGATGACGTCACCTGTGTGTATATAATTGGACATAAAATTTGCTTGCGCGATTTCTGTAAACATTTTATGGCCTCTTGCATTCCTGGAGCCTTCCTAGACCCGTGTCACGAGCCGAGCCGATGCAGTGCACCGCGAATTGCAACACGCCGTAACAGTGCCATGAAATATCATCTGCGTGTGCGGAAATTTCTATGAGTAGTACTCAGGACGTGATGCATTTCGATCATGGATCTTTGCCGCAAGTACTAACAGCAATCTGGGATTTTTCTGGAAGCCAAGTCGGGTTGTTCGGGAAATTGGGGCAAATCACTTGATTGTGATCAATGCCCACTCAGATCTTCTGGCGACATCGGCGTAACATTTCCGAGCGAACACATTCGCTCGGGAACAACACACAGCACTTTCTTGATTCTCGGATTCGTGCTACTGTGTAATGAGGTGGCAGCCTATTCCGCTGTTTTTCGTCACAGCATCGTCTTAGGGAGATAGTCAAAGCGCGAAAGAATCAATTATAATCAGGCTTTTCGTAGAGGTCGTCCGCAAAAACGCTGCATCCGCTACGATCTGATCCAAACACGCGCAGTTCGGAACGGTCAGAAGCAAACTATACCAAGTCCTCAGGCACCAGATGTAAGGGTCAGACCGAGAAAAAGGTGCATGCTCCAGAACCCCTATACTGTACACCATGTTTACCATGGTATCCGATAGTAGAGCCGTCACAGAAGCAGGGTCAGGGGGGTACACGAATTGCAAGGCGGTGACAACTGTTTACACTGCAGAAGGCAAATCACCCAAACAAATATCAAGTCGCATCACATCTCCTATTTGTTCGCTCGCTGTATCCAAGCTGGGTTTGGCGGAGGACCTGGCCGAATAATTTCCGGGCTTGTGTGTCAAGAACAGCGCTGCAGTCCAATGCCTGCATCAATTCGGCCCGTGGTGATGCTCACGACTTCGCACGCGACAGTTTTGCGCGAAGGAACAAGCCAAACTTCGACGCACATGTTGTGTACAGCTGTCCACGATTTTTACACTTGCAGCGCATTTTTTTTTAAGGAGGTAATTTTTGACTAAGGTGCTTACGATAGTAGAGATCCCGAACACACCCATGATAGAACAGTCATTCACACCATGTGTCTCGCCATAGTGTGTCTGAAAAAGAAAGGGAATGGAGAAAGAAAGGGAGAAGGAAAATGAAACTCCCAAAAAGAACCCAAATGCAACACACATAAAACCCCCCCTCAAGTTACCCAATCAAAACGCCCAGTCAAGACACCCCATCAAGACATCCCATCCCACGCCCCATCCCCCCCCCCCCCCCCCTCAATCACATCAACGTATCGACCATGTACGGGGCCTCCACCCAGAGAGCCCCGCCTTCCACATCGACATCGTCCCTCTCCCGATCCGCCAAATCTATGTTAATCCCCCCCATGGAAGACGCCGCTCAAAGCAGGATGACACGGGCTTGCGCACGTTGTAACGCCACCCCGATGAGCGCCTTCAGTGACCCTAAAAGATAAGCCGAAAACACAGAGTCGTCCTCTCGACAAGCCCCCCGCGACACAGCTAGCCCCACGTGCGCATCCCCCTGCTGACGAAGCCACCGCTGAAAACGACCGCCGAGACACCCCCACGTCTCAACTATCAAAGGGGTGAACTGCACGCCCCGGTTGCGTGCAAGCAGAGGTGCGTAATCACTCGTTTTGCGACGCTCCCATTCCCTTGCCGCCACACCTATTTGACGCTCGCACTGTCCCAGCAATGATGGAAACAGCGATAGCGGGTCCGCGACGCTGATCTCTAGGGCGTGAGCCTCTCCAGCCATTGGACGTCGCACCGCCACATCAACCCGCTTCCCTTGCAGCACCACACTATCCTCCAATGTCACCACCCCCCCCGACGCCTTAGAGATCTTCGCCACCGCAAACTTCACCTCATCATGCACCCGAGAAGGACCATGCTGGTGCCTGCATCTCAGGGCATGGTGCGGGTCTGCTGGGTCAACATACGCTGTGCCACAAACACACCTCCCCACCACCTGCAGCTGCTGAATTGGGAGGCCGAGCCGTATAGCAGCAGCAATGCCCCACTCAGCCGCAGTGAATGTGAGATCTGAGTGAGCCGGAACCGCCGAAACTCATGCACCTGCCCCCGGGCCCTGAAGGGATGTGAAACGGGCCAAGGTAGCATCGTCACGAGCCAAGCGCCGTAGTGCCTGGAGCTCCTCTACAGCTAACTGCCGCTGACGCGCCTGGAAAAGCCGAACAGGAGGGGCCGCTACACACAGAGGTAAGCTCGGTATCTCGTGGCGGATAGTCGCTGGCAGCTGCTCGAGAGCCTTGACAAACCACGGGTCAAGAAACTCTGCCCCTGTCGAAGTGGTAAGGTACTCAGCAAACATCGCCTCCTCACCCGCCACCCCTAACTGTGCAATGTCCCGCGCGGCCTGCGCCCACCCGCAAACATAGGACAGTGGGCTCAAAGAGGCCGCCGCCCGGATCTCGAACCCACCGAGACGCATAGGGAGATGCAGCTACATGCGTGCGCGCCTAGACCGGTCGGGGTCCTGCTCCCAAGTGCCAGGTGGGAAAAGCTGCTCAAAGCAATCCTCTAAACAACTGTCCCAATCCCTAAAAGCCTCAACCACTTCGGACGCGGCGGCATAGTCTGGGCGAGGTACATCGGCCGCGCTGAAACTGCAATGGCGAGGAGGTGTGAAGCCATCTGGGGGTGGTCGAGCAAGGGGAGCCATGGCAGTGGCGCCTGCAACTGTCGAAGCCGCTCCCGTAGCCGGACCACCTCCCAAACCTCCTCTCCAATAGGCACGCCCACCACAGTAAGACCCTCATCCACCCGCTGCATCCCCAATGGCAGTGCCCGCTCCACCTCCTTGCCCTCGCGCTCCCAAAACCGGCACTTGTGCGCCTGCACCTCCAGCCCTACCCACTCCAACCGCTCCCGCCGCACCCCAAAAGCCTCCAGAATCCTAGCCGCTGGCCCCAAAATATAGGTATCGTCTGCATAGCTGAGGAAAAGCAGGTCCTTGAACTCCCTAGTAACCGGCTCCATCACCTGCTGCTGCGTGAACGCGAAAAGAAAAGGGCCGAGCGGGTCCCCCTGCCTCGATCCCCGTGCTGACTCGAGGATCTGTACAAAAGGGCCCGCTCGGAGGTACAGGTCGCTAGGTGTCCCATAAAAGACACGCAAGAATGGGATCATCCCTGAGAAAGGCGACTCCTGCAGCCCATCGAACATCACATGACGGTGAAACGAATTGAAGGCGTTTGCGACATCTATCAGTAGCGCACACCAGTCGGGGTGAGTGGCCAGCGCTGACCGGAAAGAATGAGTGAGAATCTCCGCTCCGACCCTGGTGCCCGCTCCCAGCTGGTTGCACGGCAGGAAGTAGGAAACCATCGCAGGGCGGAGCGAGATGCAGAGAGCTCGAGCAAGGATACGAGAAAGCACCTCCCCGATCGCCACCGGCCGGACGTCGCCGTTAGGCTTGGAAAGCCTGACTAGGTTGGAAGCGGCGAGCCACGGCCGAGCCCGCTCGGGGACCTGTCCCGCCACCCATTGGTTGAAAACTTCCAACAGGTGGGAGAGGCAGGTAGGTTCAGTAAGGAAGGTGTCGCGCAGATGCTCTGTGACCCACCCCGATGGCCCTGCTGCTGAGGCTCGAGCGGCTGTATGGATAGCTCTGGCCAGGATGTCGGTCGTGAGTGAAGGCCGCTGAGCGGTATCGATGGTGAAATCGCGGACCCACTGTGGTACCTCGCCTGCGCTAGCTGGGTGCTTCTCTCGCAGCGACTGCACCATGACCTCAGACGGTCGAGCCAACTCCCCTGCTGTAAGGCAGGCCAATCCTCGGCTCCACTCCCCCACTTTGCACCGAGATCGGCACCGTGACAGGCGGATGGCATCCGGGTCATGGTCAGAGCGAGTGTAGGAAAGTGGGCGAACTGCTGGCCGCGCTGCCGCCATGGCAGAGTCGAACAGCTCCCGCCACCTCCCATCCCAGAACGCACCCAACCGCTCTGTGATCAGCGCCTTCTGACCTATGCCTGGCTTGGGAGGCATGGCTAGGATGAGGCGCGGAAACGCCAAGAGTAGGAGGGTAGCGGCTTCATCTCCCGGCTGGCTCTTCAAGCGCTTAAGGATGCAACAGAGCGCGTCTAAGACCCCCGACCTGGCCCGCTGTGGGATCCGGCGAACTGTCCTCCCTCCAACCGCCTCCACACTGAAAAATGTTTCCCATTCCCATGACGTAACCCCAGCCCACGCATCGTCCCCAAATTCCCGCGGCGTTGATCGCTCCTGCATGTCCGTCTCCACTAGAGACGGAATCGAGCCGAGAGCCTGTGCACGCCTCTCCGCCTCAGCCGCTCGGCATACCCTCATGTGGTTCGCAGCGGCCCCCCGCATAGCGAAAGTGTGGAAACACGTGTCGCACGGGAAGCGGGGGCATGGGGAAGGCGGCATGGGAGGTTCTTTGTCCGCCTCTGACTCCTCCGCAGTCGCCATGGGGGTATCAAGCTCCAGAAGTCGACACCACTCCTCCAACTGTTGCTCCTGGTCGTCCATCGATCTCCCCCCTGCTTGCTGCGCTCCTTGGGGTGCCCAGGGCACCCTCGGCTGCCCCCCTGGCTGCTGCGCTCCCTGGGGTGCCCCGGTCACCCCCGGCTGCCCCCCTGCCTGCTGCTCTCCCTGGGGTGCTCTGGGCACCCTCGGCTGCCCTCCTGCCTGCTGCACTCCCTGCCCTCCTGCCTGCTGCACTCCCTGCCCTCCTGCCTGCTGCACTCCCTGGGGTTCCCCAGACACCATCGGCTGCCCTCCTGCCAGCTGCACTCCCTGGGGTGCTCCGGTCACCCCCGGCTGCTCCCCTGCCTGCTGCTCGCCCTGGGGTGCTCGGGTCACCCCCGGCTGCCCCCCTAGCTGCTGCTCCCCCTGGGGTGCTCCGGTCACCCCCGGCTGCCCCCCAGCCTGCTGCTCTCCCTGGGGTGCTCCAGGCATCCTCGGTTGCCCTCCTACCTGCTGCACTCCCTGGGGTGCCCCGGGCACCCTCAGCTGCCCTCCTGCCTGCTGCACTCCCTGGGGTGCCCGGGCACCCCCGGCTGCCCTCCTGCGTGCTGCACTCCCTGGGGTGCCCCGGGCACCCTCGGCTGCCCTCCTGCCTGCTGCACTCCCTGGGGTGCCCCAGGCACCCTCGGCTGCCCTCCTGCCTGCTGCACTCCCTGGGGTGCCCCGGGCACCCCCGGCTGCCCCCCTGCATGCTGCACTCCCTGGGGTGCCCCGGGCACCCCCGGCTGCCCCCCTGCCTGCTGCACTCCCTGGGGTGCCCCGGGCACCCCCGGCTGCCCTCCTGCCTGCTGTGCTCCCTGGGGTGCCCCGGGCACCCTCGGCTGCCCTCCTGCCTGCTGCACTCCCTGGGGTGCCCCGGGCACCCCCAGCTGCCCCCCTGCCTGCTGCACTCCCTGGGGTGCCCCGGGCACCCTCGGCTGCCCCCCAACCCGCGGAGCTCCCGGGGGTGTCTCGGTTGCCCCCGGCTGCCCCTCCGCCTGCTGGGCGGCAGCTCCGCTTCCAGTTCGGCCTTGCGTCTTACGGGCGTGTCGTCTCTCGCCTCGGCTCCGTGCCCGGGTTCTCTTCGCTTGGCTTGTAGAGTCCGCACTAGCGACCTCCAGCTGCCCCCGCGCCGGCAGCTCCCGCCGCTCCCCCTCCGACAGCTCTTGCTGCCCTCCCCCCGACAGCCCCAGCTGCCCTCCTGTTGGCAGCTCCTGCCGCTCCTCCCCCAGCAGCTCCTGCTGCCCTCTTGCCTGCAGCCGGACCTGGTTCCCTGATTGGTCCTGCTGCACCTCTGGCAGTAGCTCAGCCATCTCCACATCCACCGCTTGCTGCTCCCTTGCCGGCAGCTGCCCCACCCCCGGCGGCTTCTGCTGCTCTTCCCTTGGCAGCTCAAGCTGCTCTCCCCCGGGCGGCCCCTGCTGCCCTCCTGCCTGTGGCCAGGCCTGGTTTCCCGATTGGTCCTGCTGTGACTCTGGCTGTAGCTCGGCCATCTCCACTTCTACCGCTTGCTGCTCCCTTGCTTGCTGCTCCCTTGCCGGCAGCTCCTGCTGCTCTTCCCTTGGCAGCTCACGCTGGTCTCCCCCAGGCGGCTCGTGCTGCCCTCCTGCGTGTGGCCGGGCCCGGTTCCCCGAGTGGTCCTGCTGCACCTCTGGCTGTAGCTCGGCCATCTCCACTTCTACCATTTGCTGCCCCCCAGCCGACAGCTCCTGCTGCCCTCTCGTCGGCACCTCCTGCTGCCCTCTCGCCGGCACCTCCTGCTGCCCTCTCGCCGGCACCTCCTGCTGCCCTCTCGCCGGCGCCTCCTGCTGCCCTCCCGCTGGCACCTCCTGCTGCCCTCCCGCTGGCACCTCCTGCTGCCCTCCCGCTGGCACCTCCCGCTGCCCTCCTGCCTGCAGCTCCTGCTGCCCCCCCGCCGGCAGCTCCAGCTGCCCTCCCGCCGGCCGCTCCTGCTGCTCTCCCTTTGGCAGTACCTGCTGCTCGCCTGCCGACCGCGCCTGCCGCCCTCTTGCCTGCGGCTCTTGCTGCCCTCTCGCCGGCAGCTCCTGCTCCCCTCTTGCCGGCAGCTCCTGCTCCCCTCTCGCCAGCAGCTGCTGCTCCCCTCTCGCCGGCAGCTCCTGCTGCCCTCCCGCCGGCCGCACTTGCTGCTCCCTTGCTTGTGGCTTCTGGGCCTCCCCCAACAGCCAGTTCTGCTGCCCCCCCTCCTGCCTCGAGGGCTGGGTCCCCGCTGGACTCCATTGCTGCACTTCCGCCCGAGCTCTCCGTCTCTGTTCCTGCCTTTGGGCCAGGCAAGGCCCGCGCGGAGCTGTGAGGGATGGGCGTGCCAAAGGATTTCCCAGGGCCCTCCGCCGCCTATCATGAGACTCCTGCAGTCGCCGGCAGTGTGCCTCCCATGCAGCCATCGCCGCATCATCACCGGTACCTTGCCTATGCACCCCATGACCGCACTCGCCCTCGTCCGTCACGTCCAGGTCCCGGCTGGAGATGGTGTCGCTGCCGCCTACGAAGCCGCCGAGAGTGTCTTTGGGTAGTTCCTCTATCCCCCCCCCCCTGTCGAGAGGGGTCCATACCTTTGTCGCTTGCTGGGCTTGCCAAAAAGGCAGAGTGCATCCTCGTGGTGGAGGCGACAGAGTTGTGGGTATTGCATACTCGGTGCTGCCTCCCTGGGTCTCTTGTGGCTAATCCTCGCGATGACCTTCCTCCCCTGGTCTGGGGGGTCTGGATCGTTGTTCATGGCGTAAGCTGTTTGCGGGGAGCGCTGGAGGGGCGCCTCCCGCCTTTGATATAAGGTTCGCAGTCCGGGTGAGTCGAAGGTGTTGGGCGTCGCTGGCGCACGGAGACTCCCCTATACGCTGGACGCTCCTACCAGCAGGTGTTGGTACCTAGGCGCGGGTCTCGCTTTGTGGCCCTCCCTACACGCGGTAGTCGCTGCCTAGGCACGAGCTTCGCTGCGATGGTGCTCCTACGCGCGAGTATAGCTGCCTGGGCGCTGATCCCTCCGCCGCGACGCGGATTTCGTTGCTACGGCGCGGGTTTCACTGTTACATGGCGGACTTCACTGCTCTTTGCCCGGACTTCGCTGCTACGGCGTGCACTTCGCTGCTACGGCGCGCACTTCACTGCTACGGCGTGCACTTCGCTGCTACGGTGCGCACTTCGCTGCTACGGCGCGCACTTTGCTGCTACGGCGCGGATCTCGCTGCTACGGCGCGGGTTTCGCTGCCGAGGCACCGGATTGCGCTGCTACGGCGCGCAATTCGCCGCTACGGCGCGCAATTCGCTGCTACGATGCGCACTTCGCTGCTACAGCGCGCACTTCGACGCTACGGCGCGGGCTTCGCTGCTACGGCGCAGATGTCGCTGCTACAGCGCGGGTTTTGCTCCCTAGGCATGGATGTCGCTGCTACGACGGGGATTTCGCTACCACGGCGCAAATTTCGCTGCTACGGCGTGGATTTCGCTGCTACGGCGCGATTTTCGCTGCTGCGGTGCGGATTTCGCTGTTACGGCGCGGGTTCCACTGCCTAGCTGCGCGCTGCTACCTGCAGTTCGCGGGCTAAGCGGCTAAATCACCGGTTGGTCAGCAAGATCGCTGCTTTGCAGCTAGGTCGCGGGCGGGGCGGCTAAATCGCTGGCTAAGCGGCTAAGATGCGGGCTAGGCGGCTAGATCGAGGCGTAGGCGGCTAGATCGCGGGCTGGGCGGCTAGATCGCGGGCTGGGCGGCTAAATCGCGGGCTGGGCGGCTAGATCGCGGCCTGAGCGGCTGAATCGCGGGCTAAGAGGCTGAGTCGCGGGCTATGTGGCGGGATCGCGCTGCTACTAGCGAGGAAAGAGCTGCTGCCTAGCGGGAGTCGCGCTGCTGCCTAGCGGGAATCGCGCTGTTGCCTAGGTAGCGGGACAGTGGGCCTAGGTCTCTCACTGCCTAGCGGGAGTTGCGCTGTTTGTGCTAGAGGGTCCCCCCTTTTTCGAAAAGTTGCTAAACCGATGAGCTGCACATATCATTGGATTCGGGAGATTGTGGAGAACACGATAGGCGATAGCAAGTAGACTATTGCCGACTAAGGTGCTTATGATCCTAAGACGCAGCGTCAAACATGACCAAGAAAGCTGAGAGACAAATCCAGCGCATTTTTTGTCATAGAAGGTTCTATAGTTTTGTTAATCTAAATCGAACACAGTAATCGATCTCACTCACCATAACCACAAGCAGGTAAAAACTCTCCCACAAAATATCTCATCTTCTGGAAAATGATCGATTTGAAAACATTAATTTCTTGCGTAACATGCATTACTATTATTAACACTTTTTAGGGTGCGTGTGAATTGCTTAGAAGTTCGAGAAAAAAATGAACTTTGGGTGATTACCCGTTTCGCAAGTTTCGCCAAAGCAAATTGGCAAAACAACTACATTATTGGGCGCACAAGTTCGAATGCGAAATCAGAACTTGACTTGAGTGGGAGTTGTGAACGTGCGTGCGCACGTTTATGCGAGCATGCGTGATTAGCAGCACGTATGAACAGCAGAAGAACCGGTCGAGCGCTTAGCGAGTGTATGAAGTAGCACAATGAAGACATTTTACTATTCGTGCACTGAGTGGTAGCCACGTGGCAAGATTCGTGGCACGTACGCGGACGACATGACATCATGTCCCTGCCGTCTTGACGTCGCCCAAAAAATCTCCCGCCATCGCCCAACCTACGTCTTCCGAATCAAATGTTTTAGAATTCCTTTGGGCGTGCTTTGTACTTGATGCATTCAAATATACCACCCTCGTGGGACATGTGCAATGTTCTTTGCAAAATCTGCTAGCGATGAAAAACGACAGCTCTAGCGCCCATGGCTCTGCCACACCCGCAGATGCTAGAACTCTAGGAGCCACTACTCCCGCATCAGACGCAGCCCCGGTCCACGCACCCGCACCTCAGTGGCGTTGGCGTATTGCTGTTGATCCGGCCGCTTCCAGGCGCCTTGAGGTGATAGACTTAAACTCTATCGTGGTGTATGTGCCAAACCCGAACACTCCACTAAGTGCATACGACGACACCGTCGCGTACTTCGACGCATGCGAGATGGATTGCGACGTCAACGACGCCGCCGACGACGACGATGACGCGGCGATGCCGTGCAACAAAAAATGATGGGATGCGGCGGAAGTCATGCAGCTGGCATGGATCCGATATGACTTTGATGAGCAATATCGGAGTCAGAGCCGCCTGCAAGGCCAGAATCGGGACGTCATGCTCTACGAGCAAGTCCGTGCTCGTCACACGGGCTGGCGCCATAATCTCGCGGCCGTGAAAGCCAAGGTTTTTCGTATGGAGGCTCAGTACCGGAAGGTATCTGATTTGTTGATCAAACCGTCCGGTAAGGAGAAGCCCCTGAGATTTCCTATCTTCTATGACGTATTCAACAGGATTCTTGGAGATCAGACGAATGCCCGTCCACGGGCTCTCGCGAGAAGCTTGTCTAGCGCAACTACGACCGCGCCTCCGCCACCGGCTCGTACTATTCCAAGTATGTGTTGTTACAATCCCAAGTGGGACTTAGCAAAGGATTGCTCAGGGCTGATCGCAGAGTAGTGTTGCAGCGGAAGTTTGACTCTCAGGTCTGAGTGAATGTAAATGACTGAGTTGATAATAACATGCATACATTGGGTTTATACAAGAATACAAGGGAATACGAAAAGACCTAGACTAGCCATGTACTCTAAGGGGTACATTCCCTTATTGCAGGCGAATTCAAACCGTACAGCACGGAAACCCATTTCAAACATGTTCCCGCTCTTTTCACTACAAATGCTTCTGCCAACATTGGTCTTTGTCAGACGGTTGCTGCGTCGCTTCGACTCTTCTGACTCCTCGACTTCGTACTCGGTAGAGTCGGCTCCTGCAACATACAGGGATGCCTTCTCATGTAATTTCATATCGTAACACTCCCCTTCATTCCTGGGCGCAGGAGGAGCTGACTCGCTTGACTACTCCGGTGAGGTCAGAGCAGTGCTTGTACTGCTGACGTGGCAGACGCTTGGTGAGAAAGTCTACTGCCATCTCAGTAGTCGGGCAGTAGGCGAGGTAAACTTTCCCCTGGTCAATTTCATCATTGACGAAAATGTACCGGAGCGCGATGTGCTTCGTGCGGTTCACGAAACCTGGCTTGTTTGTGATCCTGATGGCGCTCTGGTTGTGGCAGTGAAGGCGAAAGGTAGGCGAAGTTGGGAATTTCGCCTCCTGTAACAGCTCCTGCATGTACATGCCTTCGCGAACTGCTGCTGTCGCGGCGATGTATTCTGCTTCAGCCGATGACAGGGCAACCAGCTCCTGCTTTTGCGAGTTCAAGGAGATTGGCCCAGTTGGTTCCAGGCGAAAAACGAAGCCGGTTCGGGACCGTCGATTTGCAGGGTCAGCTGCATGATCTGCGTCCACGTAGCCGTTAAGGTTGAAGGAGGTCATTGTTAGTGTGGAGTAGGAGAGCCCAATGTCATGTGTGGAGATGAAGTACTGCAGGGCGCGCTCCAGGTCCAGCTGGTTCTTAGCTACTGGCTTGCGGGAGTAATGCGCCAGTTGGCTGGCAATGTACGAAAGGTCGGGTCGGCAGGTGACACTTGCGAACACCAGGCAACCCAGTTGCTGCTGGTACAATTGGAGTCCTACGGGTGATAAGGGTTTGTTGTCCGGTTTGTAGTTGGTGTTGGGGTTGCGATAGGGAGTTGAGAGTGGTGCAGGCGAAATGTTGAAGCGTTACCCCAGCTGCTCTGCGTACTCGGAGGCTGACTGGTGAATTGATTATGGCGCGTAGGTGATGTTCAGCCCCAAAAGCTGCTTCACGTTGTGATTGATGGTGATGTCAACGCGCTGCGACAGGTTCTCCTCAAACCGATTAAGGAGTTTGTTGCAGGTGCCCGTGTACAGCAGGTCGTCAACGTAAACTGTCAGGAGGATGTAGTCGCCACTGAAGTGAAGGCGGTACATTCCCGTGTCGTGCGGCAGCTGCTTGAAACCGATCTCGAGGAGAATCTTGTGTAGATGCTGCTGTCAGGACATTATAGATTATGCTTTTGTGTAGGCTGTAGTGGGGTAGCCCATATGGGGTACAACCCAATTAGGGTTAGTACTTGTACCCAACTCTTTCATAGTGCATTCATCCTTGTTTCTTCTCATGGTATCGAGCAGGTTCCCTCGTGGGAACTGTTCCTAGGGCCCACCAAGTCGATTTTTTTTTTCCCTGCCCGGAGCGCGCTCCACTTAGGCCCGAGTCGCGCCTCGTGTGCCATCTCTATCGTCGCGCCCGTCCTAGGCCTCCTTCGGCCCCGTCGCGTCGCGCCTAGCGGCCTCCCTCGCGCCGCCCTTACTCGGCCCGTCACCACCCTAAGCGGCCCGTCGCCGCCCTTGCGCCGCCCTCACCCGCGGCCCCGTCACCTTACCTGCGGCCCCGCGGCCCCCTCGCTGCGGCCCCGCCACCTTACCTGCGGCCCCGCTGCCCTTCGCTGCGGCCCCGCCACCTTACCTGCGGCCCCGTCGCCTGCTGCTGCGGCCCCGCCACCTTACCTGCAGCACCGCCACCTTACCTGCGGCCCCGTCGCCTGCTGCTGCGGCCCCGCCACCTTACCTGCGGCCCCGCCGCCCTTTACCTGCGGCCTCGCCACCTTA